ATTCTGCATGTTCTTTTATGTGTTTCTACTAAGAACATAAAATATTCTTTGAGAACATCTACAATATAATTCCTCTCAAATGGCAGTGGGAAGCTTTCCTTTGTTACCTAAAACAAATTACTTGAAAAAAGAAAAAGAAAACCCGAGCGACACAGCAAAACTACCCACTACTAGCTTAAACCTGAACTACCATGATTTAATGAAATATCATCAGCGAAGAAACTCACAGCTTCTCTAAGAGCAAATCAGTCATCTCGATACGAAAAGGGTCTCTGGGGTCCATCTGCTTCAATATGTTGACCAACTTCTGCACCATCCGGCACAAACTCGAATATCTGTTTTCAATTTAACCCACCACAATTAATGAAAAAGAAAGACCAAATAATACCCAAAAGCTAAAACAAACCCCGATTCAAGAATAAAGAGAAGGAAGTTGGAAAATTACTCACTTCTTGTAATCGTCACGACCAGTGACATGATAACGGTGCATAACGAGATTCTCTCGGTGGCCACCTTCTCTTTTCCATTCCAAAAAATTTACTTTCTTCAACAGCTTCTTCTCATGAAACTTTAGCTGCCTCATCCTTGTTTACAAAGAGGAAAAAAGGGAAGAGAGAGGGAGGGAAGAATGCTTACCTCTGCCGCCGTTGGTGGCTGGATTTCAAAGAGAACATGAAAAGGAGCAGTTGTTTAGGGCTGTTAAAGGTAGGTTGCCTCAAATAGCCCATGTCTTAGCTGTTGCTTCTAATTGTTTTAGGGACCAATTTTGAAGCCCATTTAGCCCATTAATAAATGTGTATTTACAAGACTTATAAAATCACCTTAATCAAGTATTAAAGCTTGATTACTAATTCATTTACTTAAGAAACAACATTTTTACTGTATATTTAGATTAAATTTGTCATATTATCTATGTTGTACATATATTAAAATTATTATTAACATATATCACTGTATTTGTCTCTTAATTTTCAAAGATTATATTTATATTTTATTTTATTTTTTTATATTGAAGCTAAGTATTTAAACACCAAAAATACCTAATTGAAAAAAAAAAGCCTAGAAAAGAATTATTTTATAATTCACACAGATACAAAGATTTATATAAATTATAATTTCACAATAATTCAATCTTTAATCATAAATTATATGAGATCCATCTGAATTTTGTAAAGAATTGGCATAGATCTTGTTACAAGAAAAAAAATATTATATTACAAAAATACATGATATATATATATATATATATATAGACTTGTCAATATGGGTCGCCCCGACCCAGCTTGACCCTAGCTCTTGTGGGTTGAAAAAATATGGGTTAGGCCGGACCAGCTCATATATTATACGGGTTATAAAATCTTCAACCCAGCCCACCCCTTGCTAGCCCATGAGTTGGGCCGGACTAGCTCATTTTTCTAAAAAAAATTTATTTTAGTGAAATAAATACAACTATGCTATGATTTAATCCATAAATTAAATAATAAAAACATATAACAAATAAATAAATTACATCAAACATAAATAAGCAAATACATTACATCAAACATAAACAAAATTTCAAATTTTCAATCTTTAACACAATTACACAAACTATAATCCCATCAACATAACTACATAAATACATAATCAAATATTCATAAACTTCAAGACTAATTAATGTTTTTCTCAATCTTCATCCTCAATCAAAACATTTGAGTCTTCTTTGGACAGCAATGATATCTCCAAGTCCTCATCATTATCATCTAATATTTATTGTCATAAAAGAAAAAGATATAATGAGTTTGAATTTTAACTAAAATTATTAATTTAACAAGAAAAGATTAAAGATATTAAAATATATAAAATAAACAATACCATCGGCAACTAAAGAAAAGCCATACAACCAATTTTTCGTGTAGACAAGCATTTGAACATTTTCATGACAGAGGGAACTTCTAAACTTGGTGAGAACATGACCACCGATACTAAAAGCAGACTCTGATGTTACTGTAGTAATCGAAATGCTCAATACATCTCGTGCCATAACAAAAAGATCAAGAAAGCGCTTAGCATTGTCTCTCCAATAATTAAGCACATCCAAGTCTTCAAACACTTCATAATCAAGCTTTGCCTCATTTAAATAAACATCCAACTCGGACTTTCCTGCAATAGAAATTGTTTCATTTTGAAATATTTTGAACTCCTACAATTTTTAAATACATAGACAAAAAAAAATTATCAAAACATAAATAAAGTAACATAAATTCTCATGTAATAAGATCAAGGAAAGATACAAAACTTACACTAAAGATCTTTGATCCCTTGGGTTTAGTTCTCCTTTCGACTTGCTTAGGCAAATTACTCATTAAGTGAGATGATGTACTTGATGCACAAGTGTTGCTTACATATTGTTCAAAAAGCTCGTACAACTTTGTTTTCACATTTTCTAACTTTTCATGACAAGTAAAAGCTTCAATCTTAGAATAACAAAATTTTAAGAAATCAAGCTTCATCCTTAGGTCAAGAATAGCTCCAAATGCAAGCACTACACTATAATCTTTCTAATATTTGTCAAATTTTATTTTCATCCTTTAAGACATATCTTTGATAACCTCATCTTCATTATGCAAATTCTCATTTAAAATCGATTCAATTTTCTAAACTTGCATGAAATACAAGTTGGAAATTGGATAAGATGAATCAGATATCAAGTTTGTAATCTCATAAAAAAGCTCTAAGAATTCACAAATTATCATTGCTCTCCCTCATTCCTCATCAGATGGATTATATTTATAAATTCTATCAACAAATTAGAGGCTAGCAAAAACTTTTTGATATTTGATTGCACTTTCAAGCATCAAATATGTTGAATTTCATCTAGTTGACACGTCTAAACGTAACCCAACACTTGCATCAATACTAACGTGTTGAACACATTCTTGAAACTTTTTCATCCTCCCATCCGATGCCTTTACATATTTCACACTCTCCCTAATTTTAAACAATGCTTCATTCACTACTTTCAAGCCCTCTTAAACAATAAGATTTAATATATGAGCACAACAACGCACATGAAAAAATTCACCATCACAAATCAAGCTATTCTCTCTCTCTTTTTTTTTTTCCAGCCGAGCCTTCTTCATTTTTCTGCATTTCACTTTTCAACTGATCTCTCTTTCTCCTTTATTTTATTCTTGCCAGAGCCTTTTCTTCCCTATTTTCCATTTTCAGCTTCAACCGATCTTTCAACATTGGTATGAGAGACTTGAAACTTTGAATGCTTGTAGTGTTCTAATTTCTAGATTTCAAGGTAGGCTCGGTTTTGACAAGAGAAGAGAGAATAAAATTAAAGGCCTTTCAATCCAGTTTCCTCATCCTTACCATTAATACCTATGTAATAAGATAAGATTTGCATGCAATAGACAGCCAATAGATAAGGATTTCCTGCATTTGCTACCAATAAGACTTGGCGTTGTTAATTAAGAAAAGAAAAGAAAATTGCATGTATGTTCTGCAAAAGTAATGTGGTCTTAGTAACAAAAAGAAAAATAAATAAAACATGTTGGATTAATTGCTCATTAGTCCTCCGAGTTTTACTTACTTTTTTTTTAATTTAGCCTCCAAATTTTATTTTCTTTGCAATTTATTCCTCAAATCTTTTATTATTTACAATTTAATCCTCCAACAAGTTTTTTGTCTAATTAAAATTTTTTTTATCTTCAATTTGATCTTCAAACTTTTATTATTATTATTATTATTCAATTCTTTTCGATTCAATCCTTCACTTACTCACTTTACCCAAGCATTAATAAAATGTAATCCTCCATTGTTTCATTACCTTCCTTTTATTTTGCTATTTCATCCTCCTTCCATTCCATCTTTATTCTTTTATCTATCTTAAGCCTTTCTTCTTCATTTTCTATTTAGCACATAATTTAAATATTTGATATTCTTAATTTGGAACCTATTTTCACCCATAAGTCTAGTGAGCAACTTCAATCATTCTAGCATGCCGAGGAACAGGATGTTACATAGTACATGAATAATTGTCTTCAATTTTACAATTTCTAGTTTCTTTGGGTATGCATCAAGTTCAAGGGGAGAGGGAGATTAAAATGATATAAAAACTGCAAGCAAAAAACCTGAAATATTGTTTATAGTTTTTCATGTTATTACTATGAAGCCAAACTATGCAATGGATCTGTTCTTCCTTACAATTATTTGGCGTCCAGTTAAATGTTTGAAAGAAGACAAGCATGTATTTATGACCTAATCAATGAATAGCCAATTTATGATGCATCTCCACTTTCAAAGAGTTAAAATAACTTTTTTCTTATCAATAAAAATTAAAATTGAAAATGAAAATCAATACATTAATAAAATGCAATGAAAATGATCCATAATATGTGAAGAATTAACTAAAAATAAACATTACACAAAATTCAATTGACAATTGAGATAATTATGTGATTAAATTATAATCAAGAATAATTTTATTTATTTGTGAAAATAAGTGAGTAAATTATAATTAAGGGTATTTTTGACACGTGGGATAAATGTGATTTAATTTTAATTATGAGTAATTTTTTCTTTTGGATAAATATGTATTTAAATTATAACAAAGGTAATTTTTGTTTCTATGAAAATAAATGTTATACTAATAAAGGATACTTTTGTTATTTTATTATTTATTCTTTTTATATTTTAAAATTATTTTTACTAACCAAACTCTACAGTAAGTAATAATAGCAATTCATACACTATTCCATTCCTTATACCAAACTACGGAATAGATATTCTACCATATTCATATAAAATGACTATTCTATTCTCACAGAATAACTACTCTATTCCATTTTTTGTTTATTCCGCGAACGTATTGTAACTTGATAAAGATTTTCCATGTAATTTTTCCTTTGCATTTTTCAAAATCTGCTTCACAATGAAAGATTATATGCAATACATGAGAACATTACGCTCTCAAATGACATCATCTCTAGTTATTTCCCAGACAGTAAACGAATTGAAGTTAGAATCTATTATTTGTGCTGTTTGAATTTCATAATCATCATGATTTTGTGCATCTTTTCCTTGATGCTATCATTCATCACACAGATACAGAATCCCCTGCCCAATTACTAGCAATAAAAATAAGCAGTATAGCTGATAACACAAATGACCTCTCTTCCCCACCAGTGTGAAACAGAACTTGTTTAGTTACCCTGGAACCAACAAAGAACTACAGTTTAGTAAATGCATGCAGATAAGGGGTGGAAGCTATTCTCCAACCGGATTCCTTAACATTGTACTAATAGAATACACACTTTTTGACTTTTGTACACTTTTGGACTCCTGGGACCAGATTAACCTTCATACTCAGCATGATGAAAATGAAATTTCCAGGAAATTTAACGAAGAAACAACAAAAAATTTAGGAGATACTTAGCACTAGTACCCACTGGATACCATTCGAGATGGACCTTCATTCTTATAATTGGAGCTAAACAAATCTCAAGACAAGAATCAGGATGAATAAAACTGGCAAACCAAAATTCTGTAGACAAGAAGGGATTTGGTGGAAAGGTTATTTTATAGCATCTCCAACATGATCCTTGCTGACCAAGCAGACTACCGTATAACCAAGAAGCCATCTGAAGCAGAATATAAATCCAAGTACTCTAGCGAGAAGACATTCATATGGTATCATAAATATAGAAACCACCTGTTGTAAATCAACATGGTTTTACTGTATTACAGTATTGGCCTTTCAATATTCTGAGCAGAAATACATAAGCAAAGCTCAGTAGGAACTTAGGAACAAAGCAAACTGCCCCAGAATTTGTGATGTTCTGATAGTGTAACAAACTATTAGAGAACACAACAATGAATTGTTTGAGACAAAGCTTGAGCCTCAGCAGCAAGTGCCCACTGGGAGTCTGATGCAAGATGGAAAGATGCTGAGGCTGTATATAATGTAAGATTTTCTTTTGCTACTTTGTGATATTTTTTGGCTTTGCTTGTAATTGTTGCATATATTTAGGATTTAGATTTTTTGAGTTATTTTATAGTATTATTTGTATTCTAATTATTTCAAGTTTCAGGACAATAGAGTTATATTGGTCTAAGTTTATAGTAGAGTTTGCAATTTAGCTATAAGTTATGTTACAAGGACTCAGTGTTTCGAACACAGGTATGTCATGTTTTTGGCAATTTTTTGCCCTACCTTAAAGGTTCCAAGCATCATACCCATATAAATTTAAAGTGTCCGAGAAGTATCAGACATTTTTACCTAAGGAACTTAGGGTAAAGTGATGAATCCATGTGACATAGGCTATATGTACCTGCTTTATTTCAGTTTCTAGTATTTTTCAGATGATGAATTATTGGAATGCTTAATTTTGAGCCTTATGCTTTAAATATTTTTAGATTTTTATCTTGAGAATTGTTATTGACATTTCCGGTTTGGTGAATTTGATTGAGAATTTCAGATTATTTCTTGAGTGTTTTGTTTCAAAATAACTTGTTCAAGACCAGTTTCTCTCCCTTCCTTTAGAATAATACTTTGTGAGAATGCATGCAGTGCAGCCAAAAAAGTGCATGAATTAGAGGATGTCCATATTCAGACACCGCTATAAAACAGAACAAAATTCAACTTCCTAGAAGTTTTACATTTTAAAAACCATTTAATTAATAAATAGACAATATAGGTTAAGTGCTTGTACAATATTAATATAGACAATATATTACTTATCCAGAATTCTAAGTACACATAGAAAGACAAATGTAAATCCATCAGTATTTTTTCTCAACAGGAGGTCTCAAACTTGGCAGCCTCCAGCCAACAGTTCCAGTAAGGAAACACGTTGATTGGATCAGATATGAACAAAAATCGCTCCCAGTAACAGAGGTAAGAAGTAAATATAATGTATCCAACCCCAAAATGCACTTTCCTAAATGGTCAACATCATAAACTCTCAGAGATATTTCAAATTCACCTCAACATCCTAGTAAGTAAAATTGAATAAAACAACTGCAGCGTGATAAGCATATTGCAATCATATCCTAGGAGAAAGACAAGTGACAGAAAGAATGATTGAAAAATTACCCATTTAAAGTTGGTACGGTGATCTTTGTGCCAGGTATGCAGCTACTGACATCAATAAGTGTGAAGAACAAAGAATTTATCAGCTCACTAGAGGAATTGATATTTGCCATGTGTTTGTCTTCTCAACTGGCAGGAGATAATTTCCCATTCCTTGAAGAAGAAAAATCATGAGAAAAACTTCTGAAATAATATAAGCTGCACTCCTGGTGAATTTTTGTCTTCAACTGTTCTCATCAGAAACAAAAGTTCAAATATCTTCTCAGAAGGTAAAAGATGCATTTTTAGAAACAATATAAAAAATCAAATAAACTACAGGGGTGCAGTAGGGAGAAACCTATGGAGTATCTTGTTCTAGATCCACAAATAGCAGTTCCACTTCTGAGCTTAAGCTTGAATCCACATAGTCAGCCATTTCTTTTACATGTATCAAATATGGCATGTCTTCTATTCTCATTAGTCTTAGCTCTTAAAAAATGGGCAATTCCTGATGAAACACATTAGGAGATAGTGTTAACCAATGAGAACCAACCTGTTAACAAGCAGAGTAAAAGAGAAAATTAAAACAAAAAAAAAAAAATTACTAGCAGCAGACATAACAGTCATGCAGTGCATCTAACACAGACCTTGCAAACAGGTACTGCTTACGAACATACAAGTTAATGGTCCACTAGAACTAGAACTGTCTGTTGGACAAGTAGATATGCTTGTAATGAACAAGAGAGGATAAATGACAAAACCTTATCCATAATTCATTTACACTTATCTAGCTTACACCAAACCAAGCACATAGTTTTTTGGAGCCACAAACAAGTCAGGTTTTAACTTGGTTTGTTTGCATATATCAGAAGCATGCTCAGCTCAAGCGAGTGACAAGAGGGATTGTTACAGTCCATGTCCAAATTATTTTAAGTAATTGATAAAGACATGATTGGAATCTTGGTTTATCAAAACAAGCAGTAACTCAATCAGTGTGAAACAAATAAAGAAAAAAATGTCTAACCAGTTTGAAAGCTATCAAAACTTGAAAGGCTAAAATATAAGTAAACTACAGCACGTAATTTTGAAGAAGTATCTAATTTAAAAAGCTCTTTTTTTCTTCTCTACATTTTTCAAGAGAAGAATAATGTACAGCAGTAAGTTGAATAACAATCATGAATTGATAGAAAATCAACGAAGTTCTGCATCTAATTAATATGCAGCTAAAATAGAACTTAAATAAGTCCTAAAGATACTTCATTGGCCCATAGATAAAAAATATCTTTAAGAAAGAGGTGATGACTATTCAAAGAAGATTCTTTCAGTCATGAAGAGAAGGAAAATGGCTACACATGCTCCAGTTTGCACAATGCACAAATAAACAGAATTTCAATTCCATAATTTGTAGTACTTAGTACCAGTTACTAAAACAATTTAAATATAGCATGCACCAATTACTAAAACAATACAAATATAGATAAATATGTATCTCTCTGTGTATGTTTGTATGCATGTAATACCTAAGTTGGACAGAGATTTGAACTTAATACCTACTTGTTAGAGATAAAGTGTGGCTACCATTGGGCTGTCCTTGACCACAAACAACTATCTATGTTGACGATTAATAGAACCATAACTCCAGATGACATGATCTTCCCCTACCTTTATTGTTTTAACTGAATAATTTAGATTGGACATAAATAAGATAAATAATAATATATCAACCATAAGAGAGCACAATAAACTATAACTCTGTAAGTGAGAAGATGACAGGCTAGAAGTGGCTAAAAGCCAGAACCAGGAGGACGACATTTTAAGGAGAGAGTAAAGGTTACTAGAGTTAAATTAAAGAAACCTGTACTTTTAGATATTTGACTATCTTAATACTGAAACAATTAACCTATTGACATGCTTCTTCAAAACAGCATTTCTTCGCAGCAGATGCTTTTGTGATGATAAGCCGTCCATGAAAACTTTGCAAACATAACCAACTTGTGAGGTTAAAATAAAAGATTGGAAATAAGTAGCCCAAACTAACAAACCTGACAACAAAGAAATTCTGAGTATGTTTCTTCATTATTGAAAAGACTAAGAGGAAAGCATGTTCTGAACTTTTTTTTTATCTCTATAGACAATCAACCTTTGGAATGTAACCTTCCCTCTTCATCTCTGCATTCAGCAAGTCAAAGACTTGATGAATCTTGATTGAATGATACTGCAAGTCATCCCCAGCAAGAAATTCATGAAGTTGAGCTTCAATTTCAATCCAGCTACAACCAGGAGTCTTATTGACACCCCTCTGCCTCATCAACACCCTCATTTTTGCTGAGTCATCCCACCTTCTTGAATTTGCATATATCTTTGATGAGATAACATAGTTTCCAGAATTTGAAGGCTCCATTTGCAGCAGAAGTTGCATCACCCTCTCACCAACATCAAGATTTTTGCGCTTCTGACAGGCACCGAGTAGTGCCCCCAGTACAATTTCATCTGGTTTTTCAGGCATCTTCTGAATGAAATCCCAAGCGTCATACAGTTGACCAGCACGTGCCAAGAGATCAACCATGCAAGAGTAATGCTCAATTTTTGGTGTTAACCCATATGAAGAGTTCATCAATTCAAAATATTGCCAGCCTTCATCAACCAGTCCTGCATGCACACATGCTGAAAGTACTCCTACAAATGTAACATCATTTGGGCAGGCATCCCTACCCTCTTTTGACATGCGCTCAAATAGTGATAAAGCATCCTGAGGTCGCCCATGGAAAGCAAGAGCAGAAATCATTGCATTCCATGAAACCTCATTTTTTACAGGCATGTTTTCAAATACTCTTTGTGCATCGTCCAAGCTTCCACACTTAGCATACATATCAACCAAAGCAGTAGAAACAAAGATATTGTGTTGTAAGCCTCTTTGTGATGCATATGTGTCAATCCTTTTCCCCAAGTCTAGGGCCCCAATTGAGGCACATGCGGACAGAACTCCAACCAATGTAATTTTGTCCGGGATAACTCTAGCATCCTTCATGCCATGAAACAGCTTTATTGCTTCATCTGACATTCCATTTTGTGCATACCTATTACGTATTGACAACACAACCACTTATCATAGAACTCAACAAAAGACATTCATTTGACATAAGAATGATAAAACTTAAATTATTTAAAGAATTTATCGCTAGTGAAAAAAAATGCATTTCTAGTGCACATTAGATACACCATAAAGGAAAGCTTTGGACTTGAATAAGATGACACAAGACTCAAACATCATACTAGAACTTGGTTGGATCAATTTCCATCATTTTCGCATAAGAACTGTCAGAAAAGGATCCAAGTTCAGCAAATAAGCTAACTAATCAATCACTTTTGAGATAGTCCTCAGAATAATATCCAAATTTTGATACAGATGTAAACTGATTTTGATTATTTTTCAATTCCATATGTTCTCCTTTATCATCCTAAGTTATCTTAAAAAAAGAAAAAAAAAAGTTAAATATCAGGAGGGAAAAGAGACAGCATTGTTATAGGCTTCATTTCTACTTATGGATAAAAACAATCAGTGCACCAGATTAAATTCTATAGAATGAATAATTACCAAGAAAAGCGAGTGCAACAAATTTAATTTTCTTGCACGAAAAATTACAAAGCACAAGGTTAAACAGAAAAATCTTGTAGGCGGTAGCATATTCCAATCAATACAATGGATCTCCTCACAATTGAATTTATAAAGTATTATGGGCAAAATCTCTTTGCTTGACTTGTATTTTTCACTTTTGACTATTGTTGGTAATCTATGACTCAACCTAATAACATGACACATAGTGAGGCACATTTGAGGTTTAGATAATCATGTAAACCAATCAAAACATTTTGCCTAATTTGAGTTGAGCCACTTAATCCAAAATGGATTACGTGCCTGTTTGGCTTGGCTTTTTTTCAATTTATCTACCTCTTAAAAGCAAAAGCCAGGCTAAACAGAATTTTGAGAAGCTCTTAAATAAAAAAACAATTTTACTTCAAAGAACAAAATTTTAAAAACAAGAGTTTAAAGAAAAGCTCCAGAAATGAGTTTTCTCTTATCTTCTTTTAAAAATACACCTCTCTCAATCAATCTCCCTCTCCTCTCCCTCTTTTTGCAAATCACCCTTCTCCAACACAAAATCACGATCTCCCTTTCTTCTATCTCTCTCTATAAAGACTACTAAAAAAACAGAAGACCTAGCAATAGAATAACAAAATTTAAGATGTTTTTTTGTTCTCACAAAGATTAAGAGAAAAGAAGACCCAAAATTCAAAGCTTTATGCAGGTACTATTTAAAGGTTTTTTTTCTTCTTCATCAAAAAATCTAATACTATTACTACTATACAAGTTTGAGAGTTGTTCTATTTCTTTATATATTTCTCTGATTTTAAGTATATAAACTCAAAACAGATTTGCTCCGTTTTGGTTTATTAGGTGATAGAAGGTGACTTAAATACCCTTTATGATAATTTTAACTAAAATTAGAATTTATATAATATATTTTGCCAAACAGTTTATCAAATAGCTTTAGATTAATTTTAAAAGCTATTATTTTTCATAAAAGCTTCATAATAGCTTTTAAGCTAAAAAAAGCTAGACCAAACAAGCTCTACATTGACCCATTTAATTAATTGTATCAAAATGTTAGCCCCTGTTTAAACCAATTTATTCATTATCATTGCTTAAAATTTTGATACCCCATTTTAATTAAATAAGGTCTTTCATGTCATGTCATATATCTTGTTCAATAAATAAAATCATGTAACAGGCTTATCATGCCAACTAGTATTAAAATTTTCACACACCGTTTGAATTAAACAAGCTTTTTCATGTCATGTCTATAACTTGTTTAATAAATAAATCATGTTATTAACATGATTAGTAAATTGGGTCTTGTTATGTCAACCATCTTATTGTTATACCCGTCTTTAAAGTGCCATCCCCAAACTTATGGCCTTACTAGTCCAAGCACACAAGAAAACTTCTTATGGTTTGACACTTACGTAACTAGATAGCAAAACAACTGCACAGAATAAGACTTGCTTACCCAGTGATCATCGCATTCCAGGTGACCACATCCTTCCCCTGCATTCCATCAAAGACCCTCCTCGCCGATACAAAATCCCCACACTTTCCATACATACCAATCAAAGCAGACGCAATAAATGAATTCAGTTTGATCTTATGCTCTATAGCAAACCTCTCCACCCACCTCCCTAAACTTAAATCCCCCAAATCCCCACACGCCCCAAGGACGCTGACTAACGTCATCTCATCAGGCACAAATCCTTCCTCTCTCATCTTCCCAAACAACCCCACCGCCTCACTCGCATACCCCATTTTAGAATATCCCGAAATCATTGAGTTCCACGACACCAAATCCCTCTCAGTTATTTCATCAAACAACCTACGAGCACTACCCAATTCACCGCAACGAGCATACAATGTAATCAAAGAGTGAGTAGTGTGAGAATCAACGTCCAACCCCAGTTTAAACACCGAAGAATGAGCTGCCTGCCCGTGACTTAGCTCTAAAAGATTGGCACAGGCAATAAACAAAAAAGGGTAAGTGAATTTATTCGGTTTTAAGCCTAAAAATTTCATTTGATAATAAAAATGAAGAGTTGCAGAATAGTGTTGCCATGTGGCAGTAAGGCCACGGATCATGACATTGAAAGCATAATCATTGGGTTGCGGGATTTGGGAGAAGAGAAGGGAAGCGTAGGCGAAGTTGTTGAGGTCAATGATTTTGGAGAGAAGGAAGTTCGGTTTTTGGATGGAATTGATGAGCATTTGGGCGTGGATTTGTTGCAAGAGTCCGATGGATGTGCATTTTTTTAAAAGGGATAAGAGCTTTTCTGTAAAAGATTGTTGTCGAAACTTGTTGAGTTGGGTTTTCGAAAGAATGATGATTGGGCGGGAAACCAGGTTTGTGGAGGCTTTTGTTTGGAGCATTGTATGGCGGCTACGGGTAGTCACCGCACCCGCTCGCATTTCAACCTTGAACAGCCAATGACATAACCGTTGTGCTGGGAGATGGCAATGGAACCGGGTCGGGTTGCTTTGAATTTGGGTCGAATTTTTCTGGGTTTGGTTCTTTTGGTTTTAAATTTACGTGGGAGAGTGGATTTTAGATTCCCACATGTTTTGAGTTTGGTCATTTTGTATTCAAATTATTTTAAATTCACATCATTTAAGTTTGGCATTCAAATATTTGAGTTCTTTTGACGTTTGAGTTATTTGAATTCAAATACTTTCAATCTCAAGTGATTGATTTTAAAAATTAAATCGAATTCAAATGCATCATTCAAGGCTTTATCAACTTTAATTAAATTATTTAACATCATATTTTGGTCAACTCATAGCATACCTTCAATTTAAATTCTTCATATCATAAAAATGTAAAGTTTTTACGAAAAGTATTAGGTTATATATAAAGATAAAAAACCAAGATAATTAAGTCATTTATTAATTTATTTTATATCATATATTAAAAAATTTATTCCAAAAAAAGTATTAATTATTTTTTAATTTATGAAATATTTTTTATTTATAACATTTTTATTATTTATTTTACTATTTAAAAGAATAAAAAAATTTGGACTACATATATGTAGAGTTAATTTTTATCTATTGCCCATCAATTGCATCATAGTGATGATGGTATTTCTCATTCAAAATTCAATAACCATAATAATTACATATCACTTGCATAACCAGTTACGTTTTCTTTAGAGAAAATTGTGAGAAATAACCCTCCTCATAAAGTAATTTTAAAAATATCCATTCATATAAAGTTATCTATTTTTATCCAAAAACAAGCATGAATAGATCAAAATACCCTTAAACACATCTTAATAAATTAATCTCCTGATATCTTCTTCCCACCACAGAGAAAATAATGGTCAACTATTTGAGCTCACTCAACTCTCTCAACTCTCTGAACTTAATCAACTCTGTCCACTCTCCATTAGGTACCATCGTCATTGATGGGTTTGGCTATGGACAACATGCTTAATAAACGCAACGGAAAGATTAAACAACCAAAACACACCTCCACTCATGGATCACCTTGATGATATTTAACACATAAAAGTACAAAATAAATTATTATTTAGAAAGTTACCTTGTCAAGTAATTTCGTAATCACAATGGCACTTCCCGAAGCAATCCTACAAACACCGCAAAGAGCAAAAGGCTGAGCCAATCAAGTGCTTGGTCTCTAATAATAGTACACATGATTGCACCTGAACCTTCAACAAAAGAGAGAGTTTTTAACTCTACTTTGTATTAGCAAAGATGACAACAATTGTCCTTTTCTTCTTTTTCACAATCTTAGCCGAACCTCTCTTGAAAATTGCTTATGAAGCAATTTTCTCTTTTACACAAAGGGAGTGGTGACAATGAGAGAAAACTCTTTTCCTTTTTCTGACAAAAATTAGGTGTTCTTCAATTATGAAAAACTCTCATAAGAAAAATAGTTAAAAAGTGACTTATATAGCTAGGTTGAATTAATTTCAATTTTGCAATTAAGCCTCAATATTATAACACATTATAATATTGGGCTCATTACTTAATTAAATTATTTTAATTAAGTCCTTGAAAATTAAAATTAAAATTAATTTCGTTTATATTTTGCAATCAAGGCCTTATAATTATAACTATTTATAATTATGCCTAATACTTAATTAAACTCTTTTAATTAAGTTTATAGAAGTTAATTACCTAGCATGTGATTTAAGTCTAACTTAAATCATCACTCTCTCAATTTAATTCAAATGCAATCATTGTGTGTGGCCCATTAGGTTTCTAACATGTTGGCAATGAAATTGATTAATGACTTAATTAATTAATATAAATTTTAATCAATTAATTTATAATCAATTTCATAGAATAAGATTGGTATATAGTAATGCATCATTGTCACCTAATTGTTAGGAGAGTCAAAGGGTTTTTGGACAACTTTTTAGTGTATAGTCTATTAGTGTAATTCATTCCCTCATCATATATCCTAAAGACAATAAGAGATCGGTACAGTGTCTACTCTTATTGACCTCCATATTTGTTTCTACAGTTATAGCATTAGCTTTATAGAGAGTTATGAAACCTTTTTCATAATCTCCATTTCACCTTGGCTAAGGATTTTAATAAGCTAATGTTAATCAACTACTGATAAGATATGTCATCTAAAACACTTGAGGTGATAATTTTTATCTTGACCACTCATTTGACTTCACATGCTTCATACTATACCTAAAAGCATCTTATTTTGACATCCTTAGTTAGGCACCTGTAGAGATGAAATCAAAGCATAACACTCTACATATAAGACAACCTGGTATCTCAAGTCTAAAGAATATTTACACAACTAACACATGAGAAGTGTTACATATACACTAGAATGCACTACCAAATGCATTTCTCATGGCAGGTCATGTTCAGTGAACTTGCTCTCCTGGGCAAACACCTATATTCTAGTTCTAAGCATCTCTATACTTCAATCTATGAGATCAATTGCTTACTTCCAAAGTAAGGAATACAAAATATACCAGTTTCCAAGCGTCATCGATGTCTAGTTTCAATGATATATTAACCAGGAAATTTTAATATTATGCTTTGACGCATAAGGATCTCATAATTGCAACCTATTACAGTTACTTTGCTAGCATATTAATCTCATGGACTTAATTCAATTAGACTTATAACTCATTATAATTGATGTCTTATTGATGAAGGAAAACCTTTAATCATTCAACATGAATGATACTGTTGCATGATTAGAATCAAGCTTTAACCAATCCCAATTAACTACAGGGTCATTCCAATAATCATCAGCTCTCTCAACTCTCTAAACTGTATTAGCTTTATCAATTCTTTGATGAGCACCATTGTCATCATGTCTCTTAGCTTTCTCATCTCACTGAACTATATTAGCTCTGTCAACTCTTTGTTGAGCACCATCATCATCATGCTATGGTCTATCTCTCGACATTTCGCCATATTGTCGTTAATAAATAGACCCTAGAGCAAAGATGATATCAAATCATGATATTGGGTTTATTGTCGCAACACATTAATTTTTGAAACTTTTTGTGTAAATTAGAACATGGATTAGAAACATTACCTAGAGTTGTTACATGCCATGCATCTCTAATGCATATAGCATGTAAAAAATATATTGAAATAACATGTGTTAACACATGGCGTCTAACATTTTTATTGAACATGGTGTGTAACATTTTTTGAACTTGACATGTAACAACATGATTGACAAATTTTAGAACACCGCATGAAATGTGTAAAATGACTGACAAATTTTTTGCTTTCAAAATTTTAGTGTGGTTCCAATTGTACGACTTGTGATAAGACACAATGGTCAATGGTTGGATGACATTTACAAGGGTGGTGAGTCACAAATGTTAGGGGTTAGGAGTGATTTGTCATTTACAAGCTTACTAAAGCTGGTTAAAGATGTTGTTAAGATAAACTCAAAAATTCATGAGATTGAGTTACATGCATTGATCAGTACACCTAGAGAGCTATTACGCTTAATTATAAAGGACAATGAGGATGTTGCGTTAATTCTGCTAGAACAAAAGAATGTTTTAGCAATGTATGTCACCATTAAGGAATGCTATACAAACATTATGTCACATGAAGAAGCCGTACAACATGGTAACCAGCTCAATCAAAATGAGATTTACAGTGCTTCACATGTATCACAACATTTAGTCCGTAACCCACAATAATGGCAATTGACATATGCACAAAAGTTTGTGCAGCCTGGTAGACACATAACAATCACAGAACAGTTGGCTGCACAATTCTTATTAGCATGTGCATCAAACCAATTACTTGCTTCTATCTAACAAATGTAACAATTGGGTGCAACTATAAAGGTGTAATGATAGTTTCAAATGAGATTACGACATTTAAGGATAACACTGCAATGGTCGATAGTGACACTATGACTCTCAAGTATAATACTGCATTTAATGAGGAAAATGAGAATTTGTTCCCTACTAGTGAAGATAGATTTGATGACAATTCAAATGACGGGCCTAATGAATGTCATGATGACAATTTAGACCATGACTGGCTTTATAATAGTGACAATCCAATTTGCAATAATGTTGAAGGTGAAACGAAACTTGTTAGAGGTGTTGATGTAGGAGATGTTCAATATGATGACCCCATATACAATAACCCCATCATTGATGAGAACAGGATTCATTGCCTAAGACATTACTCGATGATAGTTATCAAGAAAGGGGAAATGCAGGGATATCTCGTACGTGGCTAATTCTAGATGCAGAAAGGTTATCCTTCCAAACAATTATCACTGAAGAGTTGACATGTGATGATGATCACTTATACAAAAAAAGAATGTTTTCCTTGAAAGTCAAGTTAAAACAAGATTTGAACATTTTGGCTCTAAAAGAGCAGTTTGAGATAAGAGTAAAAAGGTTATGTAAAGGTCGTTTTAAGGTTGGTTGTAAGGACAAGGCATGCAAGTTCAGTGTACGTGTAATGAAGTTCCCTGAAAGAGAATATTTGTAAGTTCAGACATTTCACAAAGTACACACGTGTACTGTTAATGGTTTGCAAAGGCGGTTTCAAATTGCAAGTGCAAAGATAATTGTTGAACTTATATCACATAAGCTTCAAGCTAATGGAGTAACATTAAGACCTAAGGATATAATTAGTGAAATGAGGGTTCAGTGGGGATTAGAATACTTGCATGGTAAGGCTTGGCAAGCAAAGAAGTATGTGGACAGGTTTGTTTTCAGTACCCCGAAAGAGTCATTTCAACTTCTACACTTCTATTTTTATATGTTGGAACGAAAAAATCCTGACACAATCGCTGTAGTGGCTATTAATTAAGCACAAAAATTTGAATATTTTTTCTAGTCATACTTGTACCCAGGGGTTTAGGAATGTAATGCATCCTACGTTGCCATGGATGTGATACATCTGAAAGGTAGGTTCAACGGTGTTCTGTTTGTCACTTTATGCAAAGATGCAAACAAATGCATATATCTAGTTGCATTTGGCATAAGCCATGTTGAGGACAAAGACTTGTGG